CACGTCCCCATCAGGTCAGCACTCTGGAAGGGAAGGGAGGGATGCTCTAATGCCCCCCAGCTTCTAGCCTGAGCCACTGTAGGCATGTGTCTGCATTTCCTCAGTCCAGAGGGAATGACTATGCAGTTGCAAACTGGTTCAACCTAGGCAAGTTAGACTAACCTGCAAAGATTGAATCAGTTTAGGCTCAGGCTTTCTGAATGTCTGTCTCTATCCTTAAGGAGTTAGGGCAGAGATGCACTGTGTTATTCATATGGATGCTGTCACAGTTCACTAGGCTGGCCAGCCTAGGGGATAGAGCCAGGAGTGGAACCAGGAATTTCAGGGGTAGGGTCAAAAGCCATGAGTCAGGAGTCAAATACCAAGCCAAGGTTAAGATCCAGGAATCAGAAGTTCAGTTACCAAATCCAAGGTACAATGCACAGGGTGAGGTCCAAGAACACAGCCAAACCAGGGTCAAGAACCTGGAAGCAGATCCACTGAGAAATCCAAAGCCGAAGTCCAGCAACAAACCAAAAGCAGGGTCAGAAAGCAGGAAAGCCAGAGACATTGCTAGGAAAGGAGCAGCTGAGAGACTATAGACCAGTAGGTTGTGCAACAAGGCTTAGATGTTGGAGCAGTTCCTTAAAAGTAGCACATTGAGCCAGTCCAGGTGGGCACACTCAAACTTACCCACTTCCTTGGCTTTAACTTTACTGTAGCTTAAATAGCAACAGAACTTGAGCTGCCTCTCCAGACTAAGCAGTTCTGAAGGGTTTGCTTTCTCCTTACCCACTGTTTCCTCTGATATCCTGACAGAGTTAAATACCAATTGTTACAATAAGCTAGCCAAACTTCCTCAGCAACTTAATTAATTTCTAATGCCACTAGCAAGTTCCATTACACCTGCCACTCAGTTAATAGTCTATTAGAATTAGCCAGCATGTATGGAAATAAAGTCAAGCCATTTCAGTATATCATCTGTGTGTCTGATTTACATTTTTGAAGGCATCCATCATTAAAGTTTTTTATTAAAGTATGATTAAAATGTGTAGATTTGTTACTGAATCTGTGGGAATTGTTTATGTCAGACTTATTTGCAGAGGGAGGGAGTCTGTCTTTGGACAAAGTAAAAATGTGTGATGCTTAATTTGTTACAGTAGAATACCTTAACATTAGGAGTTTGTATAGTAAGACAGAGTCCTAAGACACCCTAAATTACACTGATGCCAGGGGAAAGACTCTTATTGGACTTCAGCCGGCATTAGTTTGGGCTGGTAAAGGCACAACAAAAAAATAGAAGCCCTAACTTTGTGTAATTTATATCATGTCAAAAGTATTTGAGATTAGCATTGTAATAAATCCACCCTACTTTATGGTTAGAACACTGATTCACAAAGCTAACTTCCTGCAGCTAGGAGGACACTGGAGTCATATAGATTGTAATGGTTACATATTAAATCCCTATTTAATTTATTTAGCTAGTCAAATATGTAGGGTGAGTTGGCTAATCACATTTTAGCAATACAGAAATCATACTGCTCACACCAGATTAATGCTATTAAGAAAGCCTAAGGGCATGCTAAATGCAGAGTTAGAAATAGAAGCCTACCCCACACATCAACAAGCACACCTGGAGAAAGACATGTCACAAGCTATTTCAGTTGTGGATAGAAGGAAGAGAAACAAACACTTCAATCAGGAGTCTTAATAGGTCAATTATGTCCTGCATTTGCCTGACAGAATCAATGCACAGGAAGCTAAAATGGGAATTTGGGTGACTAAGTACTCCTCTGAGTCTCTCAGTAACTTGTTTTGATGTCCTGCTGAGGTGCCGTGGCATATTTGAAAACTTCCTTCCTTCCTCTGCTAATGATTAGGGTGTAAGTAAGCCCAAATCACCCAACCAGTGCCAGAATACACAGCTGACAGAACCTTTATTATAAATTATATTGCAAACTGACACACAACTCTTACAGGTTTAGTGTTACTGACGTTGCTAATATGTACTGCCAAATTCTGCTTCAATTACACCATACAGTCCCATTGGGTTTAATAGCGGAGAGTAGAATTTGACTAATTACCCCAGAGAAGTTAGGAATGTCTGAGAAGAGACTTGTTCATTGCTTTCCAGTCAATAGCTAGAAAATCCCGCAATTGCTCTTATGACACAGACTGGTATTTGGCATGTTGATTTTTGTTTGGTTTTATATTGTTTTGAACATGATGGCTTTCTATTATCTATTGATGACCTTATTTTGTTTATAATTTAACTTTTCAAAACACTTCACACACATTTATTTAAGTCTTCAACTGAATTTGACACACAATATATATTTTCACTTTGATATTTACTCCAAGGTAAGCTGAGCCTAGAGATACATTTCTGTTTAATGTTTTGTTTCCTTCACCTTGAAATTGTCCATGAGAATGATACATTTGTATTGTGATGTCACAATGTCTTGTGAACACACTGAAAAACAACATTCATTTATTATTTGACTTAGCTAATTTTCTGTAGCTTCACCTCCTAGTTCAGATTGTTATGACCTTTCCTAAAAACCTATTCACATTAAGTATAAAACATTAACCTTAAACATTGTCCTTGTCCATTAGCCATTTATAATCATATACAGAATAAAGGAATGTGCTCCCAGGAAGGAAGGAAGATGGATTTTTTGCTCTCTTTTTCCAAGAAACCCCATGGATAAACCAATGTAATTATACATTTAAATTAAAATTATTATTCAGACATATCTCTACATGGTATAGGGATCCAGTCAGGATACTATCCATGGTAAATAAGGCAAAAAAAGTTAGAAGTGAGGCTATGTAAAGCTGTGTGAATAACTGATTTTTTCTCTGTTTTCGGAGATGGAAGAAAAAGAAAAGGAAGCAAAAGAAAAAACACATTTTCTCCAGACATTTTGGAAAATTACAAATAGTTAATTTGCAGTTGAACAAAATGAAATAATTACATTCACAGGAGAACTGTAATAACACCATTCACAAACCCAGCGCAGAAAGAGAGGAGGTGCAGATTGCTTGTCTGTAGTCCAGTGGTTAGGAGTTTGAAAAGTGGGATATGTTTCAAATCAGGCAGAAAAGGGATATGAATTCAGGTGTCCTATCTCTCCAGGGAACCACTGGGGTACAGGATGCACTGGGGCCTGGGTGGTTATCTTTGGTAGTTCCGAGCACATGGACCAAGTCTCACTATTAAAACAAACACATTGTTCCAACATTTCTAAATTTTGTTGTCATTCTTTTTATTAGCCACAATTATTTGCTAAGATGCATCTAAATTCATGAATAGTGTCTGAAACTTCATTTGTTGTAAGTAAACTATTTACCAAAATAAGATTTACGCATCTCTACAAATAACTCCTCTAACTCAAGGCTTCATGACCTCTCTACCAAAGTGAGTCTCTCAGTATCTTTCATGACTTAATTCCTCTCTATTACAGCTTGAGTTAAGGCAGAATATCCTAAAAGAAAGTACAGTTATGAGATAAAATCTCCCCTTCTGGAAGTCTGTCTTTCTACAGGGTTGTCATGCCATAGAGTCAGTATTTGGAGTATGGAAATGTTTAGAGAAAAGTATGTTTTCCTTTCCAAATAAATGTAATGTTCTGTTAAAGAAACAAAGCTGCTTTGTATTTTAATATGTTGGTTAAAAATGTATTACTTTCTGTCTAACCAGGTTCTTGTTAATTCCATACTATATTTCCTTCTTTTACAGTTAATTAATCATCTGACAATCCCCTTTTGGTTCAATACTGCTGCTTTTTCAAGTTTTCTGGAACCTGCTTTTTATTTTTTTAATTTTGTCAAAGAACACTGACCAGAGTCCTGTGTAGCCCCTGAAGTTTTTTCTAATTAGATTCCCACAGTTTTTTTATTTGAAAATATTGCAGTGCTCTTTGGATACAGAATAATGTTAACCGTACAAATAAAAAACACTTTCTTGGGCTTCAATGGTTCAGAGAAAAATATTGAAAAAAAAACAATGGGCAAAATCAGTATTCTTTTAGTAGCCTTTAGACTTAAACCCCTGCACGTTTAAGTATTTGTCAGGTATTTTCATAGCACAGTGTAATACTCCATAACACAAGGATAACTCCATAACACAAGGATAGTGCCTGGAAACACAAGAGAGGCAGTAATGAAACTACTGTCCTTTATTCTGTTTTCTCTATTATATAACCAGGCAAACTGAAAAAACAACATACAATGAAGCCTCATTAAAATCACATTACTGTCCTAACAAACAAAAGCAATCAAATGTTATGATTTCCGTTACTCATTCTGTCACTCTGAGCATGCAAGTCCTGTGCTCTGTTCCCTGCATCGACTCTGGATACAAAGAAAACCTAAATACAAAATCTCTCCTGATAGTCAAAGCCCTCCATGGTACAGTCCCCAGCTTACTGAAAGTTTGCCCCTCACTTTGCAACTGTAAGTCATAGCCCATTACTTCACTGGAAGCATCAAATACTTTCCAGTACTCAGAGATTCAGGTTTTCCAGTAGAGACGCTAGAATGATCCAGCTCAAGTTGGTGGAAGGAAGGCATTAGGACCCATGTGCCATAACCCCTACTACCCATTCCTCAGCTGCAGCAGGGCATGGCATGCCTATTACCTAACTGTGTCAAGACACAGGGCAAAGCTCCCCATCCACCAAAGTCCCCAGCAGCTGACTGTGACATGGAGCAGAGACAGCTCCCCGCTGCCAAAGCCACAACTCTATGATCTGGGTCCACAGGCTCTGTAGGCCAGATCTAGCCCATGGGCCATAGATTGCCAACCCCTGATCTAGACAGGTTAGTGTACACTAGGGAAATGGAATGCAGGACACACCAGGCTGGTGGTGGTGGTGCAATGTTTCAAATAAGATGTGAAGCCAGATTCCTCCCTATTCAAGTTCAACAAAAGTCCCATAGAAATTTTCACAAAAGCTGCTGAGTTGTTACCTCTAGTAACCTTGCTAACTCTGATAAATTAATAACATTCTACTTACTAAACTTAATTTTTCTTTGAATAGGCTTTTCTTCACTTTGTATCCTGACCTACATGCAGTGGTTTGTAGACTGAGGGTGACACCTTCCAACCCAGAAGTGAGAAGTGATCTTTGCAGTCAAGAACCTATTAGATAAGAAAGCAAGAATTAAAATTGTTTTTACAACTTCAGTGGAGTCAAAATTACACCCAGGCTTTTTTCTTTCCACAGGACTTTATTCAGTCTAAAGTATGAATGGTACTCTATGAATAAAACATGTCAAATATTTATTTGCCCATTAATGTATGACTCTAGGCTTATTTATTGCTGTTTCCAAACCCTGCACTGAATAATAAATGATTCATTTCCACATGCACTTTCCCCTCCAGTTGAAACACTGATAGTGCCACAAGCATGCATAAATTTATGTTTATAACTTACCTGGCCAGTACCATGCAGGATCTATGCCAAATACTCTCTTATATGGGTCAAGTTGTTCTGTGTGGGAATGAGAGCTATTTTATGGCTAGTCCAAAACTGTGGCACTCCCATAACTAGAAGAATCCTCAAAGCTCATCAACTTCTGCTCCAAATGCAAAATGCAAAAGGTAAGACCAGCCTTCTCAGATATACTTATTGATCAACATACATACACACACATAACCAGAACCCAGAAGCAAAACCCTACCAAAACTCAGTCTACCTTATCCTACTTATAATTCTCCCTCTGAAGAGGACAAGGGCAAGAACAAGATGTTCATCACATCAATTCAGGCATACTTGGTAGAAGCTCAGGTATAAAAGTGAAGATGGTATAAAAACCCATAAGTAGAACTCAGGTTTTGAAGGTCAAGGCCCACTATTTTCAAGTACAAGACAATCCTTTCTCTGCCTTCATTCACCATTCACCTTCCAATTTCTTCGGTAATGAGGAAGAAGTCTCGAAATGATGGTATCTTTCCTGACGCACCTTTGATTTTTTTCCAGAAGCACCACCCATCTGATGCACCAAATCAAATCAGGGTCCTGTGGAGAAAGTAGTTCGCAATATGTAATTAAAAGTTATGTTCTGCATGTAAGAGGACACAATTCAAGTTGCCTATCCTAATAGTCAAGTACCATATTTATTCAATTCCAGGACAAGCTCCCTCTCTCCCCCTCCCCCTCCCATTCATCATGGAGAAAACAAAGTGCTGTCTTAGAATCAAGTATCAGACCACCCAAGCTGGGAGCTGTGGTGAGAGGCAGTTTTTATAGCCCAGCTTGGTCAGGGACAGCTGACCAAGTCCGGTATCTAGTCCCAGCCCAGCTCCTCTCCCCCATTTCCCTGGCTGGCAGGGAACAGATGCTGGAAGGATGAATCTGCATGCCATTGCTGTTGTCCCCAAGAAGATCTGAGCTTCCTGAGCATCCACTCCCCATGCCTCCCAGTTGGAGCAGTCTGACTCCCAGCTGATATAGGCATGGGATCCCCAGAGCTGCTCCTCACCTGCTCCTACACCACATTGGAGGAAGCAGCTGAGGTAGATGCACAGAGTCCTCCTTCCAGCTTCATCCTAGCCAGAAGAGGGGTGGAGGGAAAGGACAGCCAGACAGGGAAGGAGGAAGCTGCATACCACTCATGTTGCTCCCAGCTGATCCAGACTCCTTACACAGCTGCTTCATGCAGCAAGAGCAAGTGCAGGTCAGGAGCAGCTGTGGAGCAGATCAGCTGGAGACAGAGGCAGGAAGTGGAAGGTGGGGCATACACAGAAACAAGTGAGGGGGCAGGCAGCAGTGGGTAAGTGGCAGGCAGAGGGGAATAAGTAGGAGAGGGAAAGCAGCAGAGGTCAAGCCACACCACTTGCCTCCCTACCACCTGCTCCCCCATTGCTTGCTCCCCTGCTGCTGCTTTCCCACCACATCAGTAGGGAGGATAAATTTAAGACAACCAAGGCACCCAGTATTAGATTCTAGACATGGAAAATTATGACAGATTTATAATGTACCATGTCTAGAATCCAATTATTGGGGGAAGTCATCTTAGACTTGATATTGTCTTGGATTTGGGTAAATGGAGAACAGTGGGCCTCCAGAGTCTGCCATCTGCATTCTTTGAACCCAAGATATTCAGCAGTTCAAAATATACCCTCACCACTTGAGATCAATAGTAACTGCATTGGTTGCTATCTCAGATACACTGTTGACTTCTGCAGGCCAAGCACTGGGAGCAGGGGGAGGGGCACGCTACATGCTGAAACAGTGAAAATGAGACGGTCTTGTGTCAGTTGACCAAATATGCATTCCTCCCTTAAACTAACGTAATCAGAGTAAGATCTATTCTTATCTGTTTCTATAAAGTGCTACAGCTCTTTTGATAAAAATCATTACCATTGGGAAAACTACCTATTTGTCCCTGCTCTCTCTAAAAAAGAACAAACAACAACCATCACCAACTAGGCTAAGTACAGACATTCAAAAAGTCCAAGTCTAAATTGATTCAATCTTTGCAGGTTAGTCTAAACAGTGTAGACTGAACTGAGAAGCAAGTGAATAGACATTCACTTTTGATTCTGGAAATGCAGCCACGTGCCTGCAGTGGCCTAAGCCAGAAGCTAGAGTGAGCCCTCCCTTTCCTTCCTCCATAGTTGGGCCAGGGGAAGCTGAGCTGAGGGAAGGGGGGCAGCCAGCCCCCTGTAGACCTGAGTATGATTGGGGAGCACTTTAAACCTCAACCCTGGCCTGCAGGAACCCCAGCTGTGATGTGCCTGGAGGGGAAAGGGGGAAGCAGCCCTTGCCAGGATTTGGTGGAGGAAGGTGAAAGAGTGGAACCAGATCCTGGCCCCTATCCTGATGCCAGCCTGGCATGGCCCTCTAAGGCAAAGGGGGTAGGGAGGGAGGCGCTTTATTCTCCTTTCCCTCCCCTCTCCCCCCAAAACCCCAATCAGGGTCTGCCTGGCCAGGACACAGCAGCCCCTGTCAGGATCCCTCCCTGCTCTGGGGTGGAGGCATGGCCAGACACCAGCTGGCATGGTGCCCTAAGGTGAAAGTGGCAGGGAGGGGTTTATTTCCCCCTCTGTCCCCTCTCGCACTGGGGGACCACAGCTGGGGTCTTCCAACCCCAGCCACTGCCTCTGCTGCTCACCCTTCGCCAGGAAGACCCTGGCTGGGATCCCCTGATGGATAAACCCCCTCCCTGCCCGCTTTGCCTCAGGGAGCCATGATGGCCAGCGTCTGGCCACACTACCACCCCATCTCTTGCTAAAATGCACAGGGGTGGGAACAGCCCTGCTCTCTAGAGCAGACAGCACAGCCCAACCCAGGGATGAAAAGCATTCTGGGATGCTGAGGGACTCTGATTTAACTTAAACTAGGAAGGGATCTGGGTCAGAAGTTCCATAAACCGATTTAACCTCAATCAGTTAAGTCTGATACTACATTGAACCAGGTTTATCTTAAACCAATTGCAACCATTTTAAAACTGGTTTATGTGCACTGAACATCTGTTCTGTTACAGGTTTAAACCAGTTTCGTATCACTTAAACTGGTTTATGTGTAACTTCTGTCCCTAGCCCTAGAGGTCTTTTCACTAGAACTTTCAAAATTATTCAACTTGAGGCAGAGACAAGATTTCCCCCTGAATAGTTAAAAGCCTGACAAACTTACAAGCAATTGAAACCAGTGAATGAAGCAGACTTAAAACAGCAGTTGCTATGAGGACTTGTGGTTACTCATTTCAGTACCCTCTGTAAATGTATTGACAATAAATGTTTGCATTATAATAGAGAGATATACTATATTCAAACTGTCCATTTTATCTCGTATTGGGGTGACTAACATAAATATCTAGTATTTATACTAAACTAGTTTCACCTTTTCCACCTTTCATGGTCATGAAATAAAGTCAATTCTGGATGGGAAAGGGGGTGAGAGATACTTGACACTGAAGAGGATAATTAACTAACATACTAAATTTTTTCTACATTATTCACAATGGAAAAACATGACCATCAAGGTAAGTATTTCATTGTCATGGCTCATTTGAAGGTCAAGAGAGCAGAAGTTCTAACTAAACAAAAATAAATCTTTAGAACCAAATGAAATTTCTCTCAAGTTTTATCTTTTGGGGATACCAGAAAATAAATTTGAGCCAGTTGAAAGTAAAGTGTTCCGTAAACATTAACAAGTCCAGGAAGAGTTTAAATGAATAGGTGCATGATAAACCACTGAATTATTGCACCATTGAGCAAGTGTTTATAGAAACAGAGCAAGTGTTTATAGAAACAGAATAAAAGATATCAGATTTACCCAAAGAACATGTCTGCCTATAGAAACACATGATATTTGACTGATAACTAATGTTAGGCCAAACAGGTTTGTTAATGGTTTGTAACAGGTTTGTCACGGCTGAAATTTGGTCATTGTAGATCCTGGTCAAGGCTCAAACTTTCTTGATCACAGGCACTTGTCTTACTGATTAAAGTGCTGAACTTTTCCATACTCTCTTAAATTTAAAATCCATCTGCCACAACTAGAAAGCCTGTAAAAGGAAAAAAAACAGTATTTTTTGATTAGCATGACTAAGGACTTGCTGTGCTTGGTCCAGTTAGACTACAGTGCAGAATCTGAAAACAGCCAAGATGGATAAGGAAGCTGTATCTGAGGTCAGCTCAAGTCATTTTCCAATTTCTTGTCCCAGCAGTAACTGCTGACGTGAAGCCTTTATTTCTGTATAACCCACATACACTGAACTTGTAAGAAAGGAAGGACTGGGAACTTAGTACCAATTTCTGGCCAGAATCCAAGTACAACAATTTTATTTTGTTTCTCTCTAATTTCAGTCAGAGACAATTCTCTTCTTCACCTTCTACCCCAAGGTGATGAGTAACAACACTGTTACTATCCCTTTCCATCCTAGAGGGGCTGGACCTTGTTGGGTCATGAACTTAACCACAAGCACCAAAATGGTGGCCCTGGGCAGCTAGACTTAAACATACATTTCTGTAAAGGGATTACACACAGACAGTCTGTGCCCCCAAAATGTAATGAGATGCCAAGGAAAGAGACAACACTTCAGTCTGCTCAGATTCATCTAGCATCGGGGGGCACAAACATCAGTCTTGGGAGTTTCCAAGCAGGGCTGTGACATGAATAAGTTGTGCATAGGAGCTGTGCTGAATCAGAACATGCTTAGCTTGCCCTCATCATATCCACTCCTGACAAACATTGCCCACTTTGGGGCAACAGCAATAGACCCTCTTGTAGTTGAGGCCAGCAGATTCCCATGGAAAGAACATCCTCCCACTCTGGAGGACTTTACAATGCTGGGACCTGGTGCTTAACTGGACAATGCAGAAACTGGATGCAGAGGATGGATCTGGGCTGCAGGTGTGAGCTGGATCAGATAAGTCAAAGAATCATAACACAAAATAAATTAGATACACTATTTTACATCTTTTCAGCATGTTAACTGGGGCCTGGTAAATTTAATATATCATGTGCCATTCTAATCAACAGACTGATTAAGCAAAGGCTTCTTTTCAACACAGATCAGTTTCAGTAACATAAAGAAGCTGAATACTACATGAAAAAATTATTTACTAAGAGCTATTTGAACAGGATAAGTTTGATAAAACATTTATTTGTTCTGCAAAATTTCATACATTGTCTTTTTAAAACAGCTCTATATCTAAACAAAGGATACTCCACAGACAAATCATTTGCTAGAGTCCATCTTTCATACATAATTCCTGCTAAAATCAGTCATAGAGATAAAGTGCTTCTTGTAAATTTCAAGGCAGAGAAAACAGGCTTAAACACAAGATTATTTTCCCATGAAACTGAAATTACATTACTGGCAATTTTTCCTACATAACAGAAATTCTACCTTTTATATCCTTGTAAATTGTTAAATCATAAAAACAATGTAAATTTCTGGTAATATGTTATTTTAAGATAGTTACATTTAATCACAAAAATATGGTTACATATGGCTACCTATAATTTTTCCCTGGTTGTGTGTATCTAGTTTGTTATTTACCTAGTCACAATAAATTAGGCAAGACATGTAATGGCATGTCCATCCTCTGCCACAATCAAGTATAGACGGTTACGTGGCAACATAGGAAGAAGTATAGATTGAGTATAGATACATGTATGAAATCCCCACCTGTCCCAGAAGCCTTTAACAGAGGTAAAGTCGCTAAGTCCGATCTTTCATAAACTAATGATGGAAAATGCAGAAATACTGCTTGTTATATCAAGTTTCACTACAACTCAGGCTCTCTACATCACCAAAAATCATCATGAGTTACCTAACTGAGTTATAACAGCAGTGAAGATGCAGTACCATGGGTTTTTAAACTCTGGATAGAAGCCCAAGTTCAACCCCAAGCTCTACTATAGGCTAAAGTAGCTTAGCTCATTGAGGTGGGCTAACCCAGGTTAAGGGTATATGTTTAGCTATGCCCTTAGGCTGCTAACATCTATTCAGTTAGAGGTATGATAGGATCAAATCCTAGCAATCACGCCTCCTGTCATGCCACAAGTGAATAGCATGAGGTGCAATTGTGGGTTCAGGGATTAGATTCTACCATAACCTACTGCCTGTTCAGAGGGACCCTGGAATCATGATCCCAGGCTCCCCCTACACTGGCAATCAGCAAGCCAGGTGGGCAGCCAGTGCACCTGCAGCTAGGAGCACCAGTTAGCTGCTCCATGCTCCCAGCCCAGAAATACACTGACCACATGTTAATTTAAGGCATGATGGGAACCAGCCACAAAATTACGGTGCATATATTGTGTAATCATTCTGTGGCTAATTTGTCTCTTATCACACCATTAATTACATTAATTTGCTGCCAAGTTACTACTGAAGATGTGATTAACTGGTTAATCACATATAAGTATAACGTCTGCCAGGGCCTTAGCCTCTCAGTGCCTTAGAATGAATCCTATTCATACCCAAATAAACTCACATTGTTAAACTCTACAACTCACTATTGGGGCTGACTGAATTGTACAGGGATGGACAGTATGTCTCCCCACTACCTCAAAAACTGTTGCTCTGAAGCCACGCAGTCCAATGCTGCTCACAGTTTCATGTCCTTTCTTCCCCAGATATTCTTTCCAACATCTATTTTTATTAACTTATTACTTGTATTACAGTAGTGCCTGGAGGCTCCATTATGATAAGCACTCTGTACCCAGAATGAAATATAGTCCCACTCTAACATAATTTAAATCCAATCAACAGACAATAATGTGTAACAAAGAAAGGCAACATGCATATTTTCAACAGATCAACTTGGTCATTATAAATTTTAGACACAGTGAAGAGACATAAACTGTGAAGAAAAGTCTTTGGACAGTCTGAACATGGCAAAGATAGCATGTCTCATACAGATAATTAGGAATTGATCCTCCTCTCTTTCAAGGCTGAATGATGCAGGCTCAGACCCTCCAAGCATGGCTCTGTTTGAATGGGAGAACACTGGGTAGGTATCTAGAGCATTTATATAGAACCTAAGATTTGCCTCTTTCCAGAAGAAACAAAAAACTAGCATTTAGCTAGCAGGTGGTATAAAACAAAGTGTGGTGTATGCTGCTGGTGGAGGAACACATTACATTTTAAAATAAATGCTATTATGAAAAAGTCATATTTGTGAAATTCAGATTGCAAAAGCAACGGGAAATTGTATGAAGAAAGAGAGAGATATTGACTGAAGGCTGATAAATAATGTTATCAAACAAGAAAAAAAAGCATTTTCAGGATGCTATTTCCCTCGTTTAATCAATCTACACAGTGCATGTGTTCGCTCTCTATGTGTCTAGTCATTTTTGATGTAATCCTAAAAGAAGTACTTCCTATATTATGCATCAAACTCAAAACTATATTGATTTTAAATAAGAAATGTGCCAGAGACTTTAGCTCCTAATAAGGTAAAGAAAAGTATTTTGAAGCAGTTTGTTTTGAAAAAGGAACTGTACATATGCCCAAAATCATTAAGGTTATTATGCCAACCCCAACTAATTGCAATAGCAGATCAAATTCCATTCAAGTTCACCCTTCTCCCAGACTTCTAGCATGGAAGCTTGCTGAACCACTTCTCCTGGATCAGTTGACCATGCCAGACTGATTCTGCAACTAGACTTACTTTTTGTGCGCACACAGTTTCATTCATAAAACTGCTTACAAGGATCAAACCGGGAAGACCAAACAATGGGATCACAGTCAATTCAGGAACTTAGTGAAGAGTTCAGTAATTCCCATTTCTCATTCCACAATCACAAGCTCTTTCCACATGTGTTTTTTTAGGCAACCATTCTGCACTAGCAAATGCAGTATTATCAGTAAGCACCAGTCAGAAAGATGTGTTGTCATGAACAAGACATTTAGCTTTTTCAATGTCCTAAGAGTTGTGTTTGTTTAACAGTGATGTGTGCCTTTGGGGAGTTCCCATGTTTGTCCTCAGAATGGAACAGATTTTAGTTATGGATAAAGGTTTTATAGATGCTTTGTTTGATTTAAAGCTTCAGAAAGATAGATAAATATTTGGGTTTAAACCTGCAAACATTTGCATATGCTTAATTTCATATATTGACAGCAGCCCCACCCATTTCAATGGAACTATTCATTGCGTGAGATCTTGGCCTGACTGAAGTTAGTGGCCAATAGGGCTGTGCAAAACAACACCATTTCATTTCAACTTCCATTTCACAATGACAGTGTTTCATTTCATTTCAAAACCACCGTTCTGTTTCGTCTCGTCGAAACTGCTTCACTGTTTCCACGCTGTTTTGCCATTTTGCCCATAGGCTATAATGGAGAAGCATGAAACTGCCTATAACTTTGTCATTTCTTTCCTGATTTGAAGGACACTTGCAGGGATGGTATTGCCTTCTAGGGCCACGAAGCCTGTCAAGTTTCAAGGAGATAGCTGTAGGGTTTTCTGGGAAACTGCCTCTCAAACTGTTCAGAGCAAAACTTGTGTCACTTGTAAGTGTGAAAGCACAAAGAAAGCTCAGTTCAAACAATGCTTTTTATGCTGTTTTTCCATCCCTCCCCCAGAGCACTGGGATTGGAAGGCACCTCAGGGAAGAATCACAGTCACTGGCCAGCTACACAGTCAATATGAAAGCAGTCCTTCCCCACTCTTCCCGCTCCCTCACCTTAGTTTCTCTTTAGCTGCAAGCAAGCCCAGCTTCAAAACTTGAAATGTTTAAAATCATTTGAATCATTTTGACTGCCCTCATTTTGTTTCAAGGCTGTTTTGAAGCCTTTCATTTCATTTTGATTTTGCTATTTTGAGCTCAAAACAAGTCAAAACATCATCGAAACAACACAGCCAGCAAAATTTCATACAGCCCTAGTGACCAACTCTCACTGAATTTAATAGGATTTTATACTCAGAGCATAAATCTAAACATATGTTAAGTCTTCAGGGGTTGGCATATAATTAATTCAAAATATCCACTGGGCATGTTTTTGGTAGCCATGGTGGTCCAAGAGAGAAATATAAAACTTGAAAATGCTCGGTTCAGGTATAACTTTTATTAGACCAACTAAAAAAAAAAATCACAAAAACATTATCTTTTTCTGCAAGTTTTCGGGATCACACACACCTTTCCTCAGGCTCAGGGAAAATTAAAGATGGTAAAAAGTCCCCATGGGTAGAAAATAAACTACATTTTTGCACAGAGGAAAATGGTAAAAAATCCCCATTGAAAGCTTGCAAAAAAAGATAATTTCTCTCCCAACATGGCTACCAAATATATCCCTGAAACATGAAAAATGCCAAATTTTAGCTAATTTTGGATTTAGACTTCATTAATGAACAACAAGAAAGATTTCTACACCTGCCTGCCTTTCCGTCATCTGACGCCTCCAGGGAAGGAATGCTGCCTTATCTGCACATCAAAGAGTAACTCACAGAGACATGCTCAGAGGAACAGACTTTCACCTTCAGCTTCCTCTGTGCAAAAATTAAGTTTATTTTCTACCTATGGAGCCTTTTTCCCATCTTTAATTTTCCCTAAGCTTGAGGAAGGGTGTGTGTGTGTGTGTGTGTGTGTGTGTGTGTGTGTGTGTGTGTGTGTGT